GCTATTACAATGCGATTAATGACAAAACCAGTGACGTACGCGCACTTACTGAGTTTAAAACTAATATTGAATTTCCTGTATGTGCCTATGCTCCATTACAACTACAAACGACAAATATTTGTCTGGACACGGGAATCGAATCTGTGAGACATCGAAGACGTAGGCGCCATTACCCAATATTTGTTGTTTGTTGACGTCAGTGAGATTCAAAGTACAAATTCCCATGATAAGATGATGAGGCTTCATTATTATTATATTATTTAAGTTTGAATGAATGATGTTACTTATGGACTCTGTAAATACGAAATGAAGAAAAAGTCTACATATTATGTCCCAAAACATTTTACATTCAAATCGAAGCTTCTAGCACAATACATTGACAAAGCCTAATTAACTATTTATTTGTAATAAAGAACGATCATAATTATCTTAATGTTAATGGTCTAGTTAATTTTTCTATCTAACCTTATAAGTTACACAATATTTTATAATAAAACGTTATGCAACATATTCCTAAGTAATGTACAGTCCACGCGGGCCTCAAAGAGACATCAGACTTCTACAGTTGGGACCCAAAAGGGCTGATGCCCTGCCTGGGGGGTTTAGAGTTTGACACTCCCTCTCGCTTCACCCAAAGCATGAAAAGCAATTACATTTACAATACAATTTTTCCCACACAAAAAAAGAAATTAACAAAATATTTAGCATGGAGTCGCGGAAGAGGAGTCGTACACCCCCTCTCTTAAAATGTATTAGGGTAAAATACCCTGGCATAGACCTATTCGTAAATAAGATCATCACAACATCAAAAACTATAAATTTTATTAATTTCTTTTAACACCCACACACGCCTATCCCCTATCAGCTTAGATATACGTGCACCATTCAATCAAAAAAGCGATTTCCGTGTTACGCCTTCATAAAAATGTGCATTAATTTGATTTATGAAAACAACAGTACATTAAATAATTTGCATTTTCAACAGAATTGTACGCCCACGTGTAAATGAGAGATGAGCAATTAATCTAAATTATAGCAATTATTTTACCCTTTACCGGTTATTATTCAAAATGTACCCGTACATCAATTTTGCTCGAACGCCTTCGCTACAGGGTTATATTATTCAAAATTTGTTTGAGTTAGTGGTCGAAATAAAAGTTGTTTAATCAGGTTTCTGTTGTTCTACAGTTTTAATAGGGTTAACCTTTAGAAGTTGTTGTTCACGCTTATTTAATTGTGGGAGATGGATCAGAATAAGTTTCGAAAGTGTGGCAGAGCCATGCTTTGGCACGAATGGGCCGGCTCGACCGCAGTGATACCACGGCCTCACAGAAAACCGACGTGAATCAACGCTTGCGGTGTTTATATGTTTCGTCGTGTGGGTGAAGTTACCAGAAGCCCAATCACCGCCCCTCCTTCTCCAATTCCTGAATTCCTGAATTCCCAAAAATCCTCAAATTCCTAATCCTCATAAGGCCGGTAACGCACTTGTGTCCATGGGCGACGCAGATTGCTTACCATCAGGTGATTCGTCTGCTCGCTTACCAGCTAATTCCATAAAAAAAAAAGAAAAAAATGCTGTGTTTGATGTTGGTTTGAATAAAGCACTATTGGGTATTGAAAATTGTATTTCATTAAACTTTGCACGGCGTGAGCCATAATGAGAAGAACTATTTATATAAATTACTAACAACATTATGTACATTTTGTGATAATAAATAAAGTTGAATTTATAATAATTAATGATTACACATACTTACTAATATTTATTTATATATTGTTTTGATCTCTACTGTAGGTGAAAAAGATACTCATTATGAACACATAATTAATGTTATCTGCGTAAACATACCTTATATACCGGTAAATAATAAATCATTTTATGCAATGCAATCCTTTATTTCATATATTCTAAATGATGAAATGCAGTCATCGGGTTAAAGAGTTCATACCAATAATCGAAATAAAATTAATTATAAATTAATGTAACTAACAACACCGCATTATGGGCTATCAGAGACAGACATTTTAATATTGAGTCACCGATAATAATTATTAAGGAAATAATTCCCCCAACAGTACGACTTATGACGTCACTGTGTACGCATAATGAAATGTCACATATTTCTCCAGTCTTGTTCATTACTCACTACTCAGACTAGCGATATAATTTCCTACTGACGCCGAAGTGCTCCAATTAAAATACAAAATTCCACTAATCGACCTTACAATAATAACTTTCAAAAAGCCATTTTGAACTTTAATATAAGTGTGTTGATAATCAAAATTGCATCCTTCACGTCATGTCATAAAGAAAAACTTTTCAAATTTTCTTGTCAAAGTTCTGAGTGACGACAAGATTGATCGTTCTGTCGACACGGAAGAAAAATGGCAATGAAGAGTTTTCATGTTGAAATAGAACGAAATCGAATAAAGTTCAATATTTTAATATCCTGAAACCTGTTTTAGATTATAAGTTTCAGATCGCCTGTACGCCTTGAGCGAGCGTGGTAAATTTTTTGTGGTAAAGGTTTTTCGTGTTAGAAGAGACCCTTGCTTACAAAAAGCCTCACTGCTGAGCCATCATCATAACCAGTTAGCCTATTATGATATTATAAGAATCATTATCACAGAATAATAAAAAATAATCACACTTTCATTAATTGATTTCATGACCAACTTAATTTAAGTGTTTGTTGCTAAAAAACCGTGACGTCATAATACACAATCGCGTACAAAATTCATAGAAAACTGTCGTTGTTGACAGTTCGAAAAAAGTATTGAATTTGACTAGTTGGCAAGAACCCATTTATTTTTATAGAATGAGTTTACTAGACCTAAGATAACAAATAGAAGCTGCCTATCCATGTGTGTCCGAATATTTAATAACTAGCCTAGTACCTCTGATATGTCGGTGCGTAGATCTAGGTACACAAGACATAGTGCATTTTCTATTGTCTTAAATACCAACATAAAAGAGTTTGAAAATACTCAACCTCAGACTGTTTACAATTAAATTATATGTATGGTTGAATGAAAACAACTTTTATAGCATTAAAGAATTTCTTGAACATAAATAATAATACATAACATAACATCACGCGTTTTATCCCTGAAGGGGTAGGCAAAGATTACGGCACATTACGGCACTTAATGACACTGTACAATGTAACACCCACTTTTCACTATTTATGTTATTAGTCCAATGTAATAGGGGGTGAACATAATGCCACATATCGGTCTCAATTCCAGACTTCGTGCTACTACTAAGATTTTTTTAAACCCAGTAATACCTTGCCCGACTTGGGAATCTAACCTGAAACCCCTTGCCCAGCAGTCACACTTGCGACCACTCGGCCAACGAGGTACTCGTAAATAATATAGAACCAATAACTACAAGTTTATGTTAAAACTAGCGGCCCGTCCCGGCTTCGCACGGGGGGACTTAAGATTTTTTACATAGTTTTACGTTTTATTTATATTTATTCTCAGTTTTTTTTTATTTAGGAAGTATTTACCTTTTGAAAATATTTTTCCGGACTTCATTTACTTATTTCATTTATTTATGAACAATTCATCTATAGAGCATTTTTGTATAACTTTAACTATATGCTCAGCGCACGCCACGGAAGGCCTCAGAAGCGATACTTTTCCCCCGTTTTTAAAACATTTTTGGTTACTGCTCCACAACTACCTATAGGATATATAGGAGGTATAGGACCTAGCGTGATATTATATAGCCTATGTTACTTCTGAATAATGCAGCTTTCTAATGGTGAAAAAATTATTGCAATCGGTCCAGTAGTTTTTGAGTTTATTCATTACAAACATACAAAAATACAAAAATACAAATCTTTCCTCTTTATAATATTAGTATAGATAAGATAGAAGTTGAATTTTGCATGCATTATTTATTAACAAAAATATGGTGATCTATTTTATAACTATAACACTTTTGTATATATGTTCTACGCAAATAAATGTATTTACCTTTATCTTTGTCTACTTATAAGAGCATATCCATTGCATACCATATACACAGATAACCAAGGTATTTGGTATGCACTATGTAGGTTAGAAAATAAAAATTGATTCAGTGCAAATACAGTAATTTCAATTCATGCATTCCAGTAAAAAAAAGTATTGTTATAGGTACCTATATTAATGGTACCTACGACAATTTTTTCACCACTCATTTCGTCTAAAGCTAAAACAGTGGCTGCCCGGCTCTCACTTACCGTCAGGTGACTGTAATGCTCGTTTGCATATTATTAAAAACATAACATTACATTACAACTTTACCTGTCTCTTGGATGTGTATAGATCTACATCTTAACATACAAATCACATGCAGACCTGGAACACCAATAGCTGTATATTACACACAGAATTATTTGGCGCGGAAGGTGAATCCGCGAAACGTCACACTTCTTAGAATATACCAATATTAAAACTCCCTATATTATAATAATATTATCAAAGCAATATTTTTACATCTACTAGTTAGATATAGTCTACCAGGTCTATATACCTAATTATAATATTTACTTCGCACATTCCTTCTCGTAGTATTTAAAGTCAACTTTCACTACAATTGCTATTTAAGTAATTGTTCTCATTACTCTTAATCGAACCCATTATATTAAGTACCTTTATTAAAACAACATCACAATATTTAAACTAGAATATCATTGTTAAAATAACGCGTAAATGACTATTATATCGCCGTATTTCATTAATCACCGATGGTTATTATTAATCAAGGCCTCCGAAATGAATCCCAAAAATAAATAAATCATTTTTAAACCATCAACATCAACATACCGAGCAGAGAAAACAATAAGCAGCTATTGTTTCGATATGAAAACTACAGTTTTGTAAACAAAATCTACTATCAAATGATCGAAAGGTAATCGCTAATAGTTCGTTAGTTAAACATCATTTCGGAATGAGTTCACTCATTAACATGCCAGAGGACGTCACTTTAGCAAAACGTGTAAATTAGAAACGGAGTGAAGTTGTTATTGTGTGGACGTTTATCGACTACGAGAGGTTATCTCATTCGTCGCCGCACAGTCGCTTAAGCTATACTTACTTGTGCAACTATGTGAAATAAAACCGAAATGCGTTTTGTATTCTTGTTATTATTAGTTTTGTGTTTGTTGTGCGTGAGTGTACCTGTGCTGTGCTCCGACATGATCGTCGGCGACACTGTCCATCGGAAAATGATTTTCCATCAGAGGATCAAAGATTTTGCAATACCCTTCAAAAAGAGAGTAAAGACTTTAACGTTTAGTGATCCAGAAAAACGAAAGATAAAGGTGAGTTTAATTTTAATACTTAATTTCTTATAAAAATAAAATAGTGACAGTATTTTAAATATTTCCATACCTTATTTATACTAGTGTTAATAAAGACTGTTGCTATTTTATTTTATAATACGGTATATTACTACTGAACTATAACTAGACAATGAATTCTATACCCGTAATATTAAGCAACAAATTGCTATTTCGACGTGTCTAAAATTTTAATAAAACAAGCTTATTATAAGTTGTTTAAACAAACAAAACAAGAGTTCATAAAATGCAGTTCTAGATGATTCGCATTTCTTAGTGATGTCGTAAGTCGTTTTGTTCCTTGACCAGATTATTTTTCCTTATTTCAAAGTACAATGTTCAATATCAACGTCAGCATTCTTTACAAAAAACTGCTGCACACAAAAATGAATCGTAACGCAAACACAAAAAGTATGTTATGACGAAACCTAATCGCTAATGTAACATGTTTTGTGCTAGAATTTTCTTTCACAATTGCTTCCTAATTTGTAGACTTTTATAACGACCTATTCGGTCAAGGGTGACAACATAATCTGAGTTAGATAATATTGTTTTGTAAATATCCTAAGATCGATTTTGTTGATAACTAATTTGAATTTTATACGTTAGGCTGTTATGTTCTATTTGCATTGGCAATCACTATCTAGTTTGCATTTCTTAAGGACAAATGTCATTTCCTGTATGAAGATAGAATGGGTCATTAAATTGATATGAAATTATGTGAATACCCTTTACTTAAGTACTTTGAAGCGTATACATAAGCAGACGTAGTGAAGAATAATTATGAGTGGTATTTGAAATCCTCTAAAGAAATGGTTTTATTTTTTTAGTTAAAATGTATCTTTATCTATACTATAAGAAAATAGGAGTGTCTATTTGTAATATCAAAATAACATTTTTTACAATTTTTGTCTGTCTGTCTATTTGTACCAGCAAATCTCTGGAATAGCTGTACCGATTTTGTAAGACTTTCATTGGCAGGTAGCTGATGTACTAAGGAGTAACATAGGCTACTTTTATTTTGGAAAATTGGAACAAAACAAAAAGTTATGTCCTAAAATTCACATTCTACGCGAGCGAAGTCGCGGCTACAGATAATAAGACTGTTTATTAAACAAAAAGAACCGTTATTACAAAGATAATGCATATCTAATAAAGGAATATAAGAATTGTTATCAAAACAAATGTATGACCTGTGTCTAGTTCGTAAGCAAAACACGAACAAAGCGATGGAATGGTCAAAACAACACAGAACTCGTCGAGTACCGGTTTTGTAGACACAATTATATAACAATAGGTTGCGGTCACCGGTGACCGCTTGGTGTTTGACAGTTTAATTGACACGTTGTGAATTTTAGTTAAGTAGTTTTTTTTTATATAAACTTATCTGTACTGTACTGTTTTTTTTTATATGACTTAAACTGTCAAACACCAAGCGGTCACCGGTGACCGCAACCTATTGTTCTATAATTGTGTCTATAATGACGGTACTCGACGAGTTAATTTGAGTTCTATGTAACAAAGAGCGAGTTTGTAATATGCACAAGTAGTACAATAATTCTAGATTTCTGTAAACCAGCCTAATATTTTTTTAATAAGTAAAAAATACCTATTACTTTGCTATATTGGTATTGAAGTTAAGAATACCACTCGGGTCTGAGTGGTCCGGTATGTAATAATTTATTAATAATATACAGATTTGAGCACATTTACCTAAACAACAATCAGTAGGTACACATATGCGACCTTTGTTTATACTTAGTATTGTGGTTTTAAATATGAAATTTTAATATACACATGCCAAACTTAGAATTTTGCGGTTTACTTTGTGAAGTCAGCTCTAAGTATAGAAATAAAAATATCATAAAGTAAATACACTATTTGTTATTCCCCGAAGAAGTAGACTTCTAATTCTAAAGTACCTGCATGACCTTTATTTTGTTTTTTTTTTTAAACGTAGCCCTACACTAGGATTTTGTCGCGGAGAACCAAACGGGTTACCGGGGATCCGGCTCGACGTGCAGGAGATGGAACGGGGTGGTTTTAAGTCAGTAATAGTCTGACACTCCCTCCCGCCTCACACAGGCGGGAGCAGTCATTCGTTTTTCTTCTGTGTCGTGGGTGCGTTTACAAACATACAATTTCACATACACATGACACCCAGACCCGGAACAACAATATGTGGATTGCACAAATAGTTGTTTCGTGCGGGAATCGAACCCGCGACACGTTGCGCACTAGCCCAGTCACCGCGCCAACCGTGTAGTCCCGCTTTTGACCTGGCAAAGATATCATACGTAGGCAGTATTAAACTGTCAAACACCAAGCGGTCACCGGTGACCGCAACCTATTGTTCTATAATTGTGTCTATAATGATGGTACTCGACGAGTTAATTCATCAAACCAAACAGTTACTTTCTAATTCCTAAACGTGAATTCCTATGGATAAGACTAAACTTAATTTATTTTTTGTTTACAGGGTGTAGCAGTGGTCGATAATGACTTCTCCCATGCAAGTGCCAATATAACTGAAGGTGGAGTAGGATATTCTTACGTCACAGTTCGAATGAAAAGCCAGAGGCATCACCCTCTTAACTTCGAAGTGGAAATATACGTCTAGTCAGAGACGGGATCTGATCACAAAGGACTGTACAAACAGCTTTAAAATCTAACACGGTGAAGTGACGGGACACTGATGTGCTAAATGATGCAATACTTTTAGCAATAGTTATAGAAATAAGTGTTAATAAGGATCATATTAGCTTAACTGTTTTCCTTTGTAATTTTATTGATCTGCCACCAAATATAATTAGCATCTTATTAGTCATTTCAAAACAAGAATTGGTAATCTTTTGTGAATATAGTCTCTCTATTAGGTAAGCATGCCAAAAGTTAATGTAATGTTTAGTTTAGTAAGAACTATTGTGTCTTTGTATACAGCAAGGTACTGATGCCAAAGGAGAAGGGTATCCCTATAGCGGGATGACTAAGCGACACCGCCGTCTCGCCTAATGTCACTATTAGTAGCAGACGGACAATACTGTCATTTAGTTTGTAGGCTAACACCATTAGTTGATACCATGCAGTAAATGTATAAATGAACTATGTATGATTCACTATACAAACTATAAATAGATTTAATACGTTTGGCACATTTTTGTTTAGATTTGGGGTAATCTGAATGCTTCTCATTGTTAATGATCTTGTACCTATTGTTCACAGATCTAAAGAATCAATACAGAATAATCAGGCTAAATATCTGCTTCTATACAATAGTACAAAGTAAATACATCTATCAACAATGAATTGTTCTCAAAAGAAACAAAACATTTTATAGAAAGCTATACTAGAACACTTCAATTCCAATTATGAATAATATAAATATTTTAAACATTTAGTATACTTGTAGAAACCTATCGTCTGCTTGTCAATCAGTCGGTTCTAATAGGTAGGCACTTGATAGTTTATTATGGTTTAATGGGACAAGTGCCAAAGTAATACCAAGTCACTTCGTCCATATTTGGCTTTAGGAAAACGATTGTTTCAAAACAATAGATCGCCATATAGTGATTGATGATAGTTCTAATAAACAAATGCACATTACCCACGTACTATTGTTGATGTTTAATTACATTGGAATGTGTTCTTGAGATGTTTAGTACTACATTGAGAGCTTGTCTTGTCAGTTTATTTGTAAGCGAGTGATCAGGCTTACTAATAAACTAACATTTTCATACAACACAATGTCTTCTAATAGTGAAGACGTTTTGATATCTACGAGTTCGACTTCGTAAGAGCATAAGACACTAACTTTCAAAGAGCAGAATATTTCCATGTACGTTTTGATAAAAATGGCTCAGACAACAAGATTAACTAGCGTTTCAATTAATAGTATAGATATTTTTCTAAACGACGACAACCTTTCGTTTAATAGGTAGCCTGATTTATGTCGAGGTTTTTCCTTAAACAGCTGAGCAAATATTAGACATTTTACAGACGTATTTCATGACGTGATTGGTTTAATGCAGTAATTTGTCCTGATTTTATAAGTTGGAAATAGGTAAGTAGGTATCAAATCCTGGCATCATTCGATCAAAGAGCTAGACTATACATTGAAAGGCTATTTAAACTAGCTGACTGACACGTACACATTAATGTTAACCGACTTCCTTAAAATTTGTCGATCTTCCCGTATAATCGTTTTTCAGACCAAAATTTTAACCATATTGTAATATTTTAGGGATTTCTTATAGGTATACATAAACGGGTTATCATTTTGATATAAAAGGCTAATAAATTTTTTTCTTTCCCTACGTGATACAATTCACTAAACATACCTGTTTATGTAACTTCTAACTACTCGGAGTACATTTTGGAATGTTTGCTGTTTATATTTACATTGTCTTAGATGATAAACATTGAGATGCGTTCATGGTCACGTTTACAACTAGAACTTAGCAAGATCACCCATCTAACTAAGATCTTATTTCGGTGCCATAGAGGCTGTTTTAGAGTGAATTTTGTATATGAGTGAATCAATAGTATTGTCTTGTCAATAACTGTTTCGTATTTACTAATAACAAAATAGATTATAGTATAAGATTTCACATTAAATTGAAATAGGAATAATTATTTAACGAATGTTTAACCTTCCTTACGCTCGTTCGTAAGTTAGTGGCTAACAGTTCGTTATTAGGAACTATTTTAGTAATAAGTATTTTTAAGTTAGTATATTATCATTGGTCGCAAGTGCAACTAGCTAGCTTAAGGGTTGGATTCTCAAATCAGGCTATTAAATTAATTATTGGGTAGGTATCCTTTCCAAAATTCTCACTTACAACTGAGTCTGTAATTCTAATAGATTCGTTCAATATTAAAATCTAATTATTGCATAACATAATTGGAGAAAAGGTATTTTAATGTAATGTTTATTTGGTTTCAGAGGTTAAAAAGAAATATTATCAAGGGTTTAGATTACGTTATATCAAATTGTTAATAACTAAAAGCTGTTTTTTGGAACAAACAGGCTAGGTAGGGAATGGGCTAGGTGCTAAAAAATAAGGTCTATAATTAGGCAATTCCAATAATGTTCTGTTTAAGGAATATTATGTAAACAAAATTTTGGTGTCTAGAACTGTTATATCATGCATAATTTTATCATAGATATTTTAATATATTGCCTTATTTATTAGGTAATACGTTCAAAAGATATAATCTTATTGAAATAAGAATGTTATATGAATTATTAATAGTTCCTTGAGTTATGTTTATTATGTCAAACTGTATAAATAAATAAATGAATATTATAATAATGTTGTGTAATCTAAATACAGAAGTTGTTTGAATATGAAATAAATGTTTAATTGGAATGTTATATTTTATTATTCAACAATTTGGCCTACTTCGTTATATTAAAATTTATATTTAATTTTATATGTTTATTCATGTTTTTGTCACATACGAGGTTTCAAATTTGCTTATAGCTCGGGTGTTGGAAAGTTATTACTGTATAATAAGTATGTTTACCAGAGTCTGAAGGGTATAACCTGGGTGTCTTCAAGGCCCAAGTGAATAGGTTGCTTACGATAAGACGTGCTCCATCGTAGACAGCATCATCGCGTACCACCAGGCGAGGTAGAGGTCAACGTCGCGTCGGCCCATCAAATATAAAAAAATACCTAAGTATCTATTTCACCAACATTTTGCTGTTATATTTTTGATTCCTTACTTTAAAATAATAGCAATTGAATTGGTAACTACTTGATTATATACAAGTTAGAGTATTCAATTATTTTTATATAGGTAAAAGCACACTAAAATATGCTTTATCATTCATCCAACAAAATTACACTCAATTTCGTTAGGCAAATAGAATTCAATTTCGTATGCTCTTGCCCTTTTACAAGTGACTTCTAAATACTGAAAAGGTGGTATTACATCATGGACTAGTTGTTTTTTCCTCTGCTGTGTCTGGCTGTCATGGATTTAAAAAAAACGATGATTTTAAAACATCAACTTTTTAAACCATCATGTTCAGATAGTGGCGGACAGCTGGCCCATTGCCAAACCGTTGTTAATAACCAATTTCCCGCCATTCACTCTTTCAATATGCATTGGGTGTCAGACTGCATTCTGAGCAGATTTTGAACAATTCATAAATATTTGCATTATTGATTTATGATGATCGAACTGAGAGGAAAATTGTATTACCTATAGGTAGGCGTGTTTAAGGTAAATTGGTTTAATACATTATTGACTGTCCTGGAATTTGCTAACATGGAAAGTACCAATTTCCTTCTCCGAACTTCTAATTATGTACCCATGTTTATGTCGCGATGTCATCTCTAAAAACGCAGTCTTAAATGGTATATAATCTATACTCATATTATAAAGCTGAAGAGTTTGTTTTTTATTTGTTTGTTTGAACGCGCTAATCTCCGAAACTACTGATTCGAATTGAATAATTCTTTTTGTGTTGGATAGTCCATTTATCAAGGAAGGCCAAAAGGCTATAAAACATCTCGCTACGACCAATAGGAGCCGAGCAGAGCGGGTGTTACCGCGCGCAAGTAGCTAGTATATAATACGTACTAAAAATATTATATTCATCATCAACAGCCTATAAATGCCCACTGCTGAGCAAAGTCTCTTCTCACACGGAGAAGGTTTGAACATTAATCACCATGCTTGCTCAATGCGGGTTGGCGATTACAAACTTATAATTAGAAATTATAAGTCCAGGTTCCCTCACGATGTTTTTCCTTCACCATTTGTCAGTGGTGTCTAAATAATCTTAAAATAATCTTAGTACATAGAGGTATAACTCGGAAAAAGTCACATTGGTACTTGCCGTTGGTAGGTTTCGAACCCGCACCCTCATGCATGAGAAACGGGCGTCTCCTCCGGGCCACCACGACACATATTATATTACATTACAAAATTATACTTTATGATACCCAGTTACATGTCTATACCATTATTGATATTTATTATTTGACGGTTGGACGGACCTGCACGGTTGGCGAGATGGCTGGGCAACTGAGTGCCGTGCAACGTGTCGCGGGTTCGATTCCCGCACGGAACAATTCTTTATGTGATCGACAGATCGTTGATCCGGGTCTGGGTATCATGTGCATGTGAACTTGTATGTTTGTAAAGGAACCCACGACACAAGAGATAATCAGTGTGGGGCAACGTTTAAATAAAAAAAAAATAAGATCAGGAACAAAATTCTAAATACGAACCAACAATGTTTGTAGACCTAATTTCTTTTTTACCTCTTGCTACTCATACACCATGCCATATTATTTTCTTTACGTAGAACAATAGCAGTACATGTTCACCATAATACATGTAGTTGATAAGCTACATAACCTGCATAATTCCATAACATATGATAAGCCAATTCCCATCACGTAGCCCGTCCTTTTCGTTGATGTTAATTTCACGCCCGTCAATCCTGGTACACATTGTCGTTTACTGGTGAACAGGAATTTTCTTTATTATACGTATTATAATAAACCAAAATACTCCATATTATCCTGTCACTTTGGTGAAGAATTTTAATCTAAATTGGCTATTTGAAAACTCTTGTTTTGGTTGAGAATTCAGAAATATTATGAATATTCTATTTTATTGTATCATACACTCATATAAGTATTATTAGTATTCAGTCGCATCAAGATAACTCAACTACTTTCGAGGCACGACAGGGACCCATATTGATGAGCAGCACTGCGCGACAAACGATGCGGCAAGGATGGAATAAAAAGGAGTGAGCGCAACGCGTGTCAGTCAGTCAATTAAGTAAAACTGGTCATCGCACCTTTGCCTACGTCTGTGAAGAAAAAACACATCATGTAACACACACACAACACATGTTAATAAATGGCCAAAACCATAGAAAATAAGTGCTACAAAAGAAAATAACACGGTAAGCATTTTATCCAAAAGTATCAATAAAAACTATTTGATACCTCGAAACGTGTGGAAAATACATGAGGAATTATGAAACGGAAAGATCTGGGCGGTCGCTGGTTTTTGTGTCCCGTCCATAAATCAGAGTAGCCATTGCTACTTGGTTACTGGACATTGAGCTGTGAAGCAAAAACTGAGAGGTAGATATCTCATTATTGTAATAATATGTTCTAGCTGATGAACAGTCATTGTAGGAGGGCCGCAGCTGTAGCCAAATGCCATTTAGCGCTTGTCTACATGTAGAATAGAAAACCAAATTATATGGATTTGTCGTAAATTTTGACACTTGCCAGTGTTATCCCCATACATTTTGATTTCTACTAGGGAGAAACGCCACGTTAGCGCTTGTCTACAGAGAGCTATAGACAAGCGCTAAAGTGGCGTTTGGCTAAAGGCCCTGAAAACTTAACATATACTTCTTTTGAGCTGTCATGTAAACAAGGCGCTGTGTATTTAAGTAGTTCACACATTTTTAGATAAGTGTATAGTACCAACTTATAAGGACTTCATTATATACAGCAAAAATAGAAACATAAAATTCCTGATTGTATTAAATTATCATTCGTTTTATTTCATGATTTCGTAGTATTTGGCTTTTGTTCCAGGTTTTGTGATATAAATTAGGCACATAAACAACGTCATTATTTGAATTCACAGCAGCTATTGTGATTTAGGTAACCATTATTTACCGTTCCTATAAATCACTAGTAACAGTTTAAATGTTTTGTTCGAATGTTTAGTTCCAATGCAATCTGTTGTGTTTGTTGTTAGTTGTCCACGACTTGTTCCGAATTTCAACTTTAGAAAACATTTGTTTGAAACAGCAAACATTTGCTGTTTGAAGAACTCTACAAATACCACAAGACTGAATTTCTCTTACAAAATCAAGCTAGACAACTTTTTAAAATATTCTATGTAGAATTATAAACGAAATAGGTGTGCGTCTAAATTGGATACCACACTACAAAAAAACCTGCCAGAGTTTCATCAAAAAAAAAATACACGTTTAAAAAAAGAAGCAACGTTCCACATTCATACATTTGTAAACAGGCATTACGACAAACATGGCGCGAAATAAAAAGCATAGACAACGCCCGGAATATTTACGTTTATATATTTCATCAAAGAGACAAAGGAGGAAGTTGGCGCGAGGGATAAACAAAAAGGGTAGGGTTTTTGCCCTCCCCTTATTAATGTAATAACTGACACTTTGTTTTATGCGAGTTTCTACTTAGCTATAGTTCGTTTGTGGACCACGATCCCTGAGACGGTTGCCGCGTTGTGAATTTTTAATTACTTTATTAGCGGAAACGGTGAGGTGCTGAGAATTTGTTTGTAAAGGAATCATTAGGCTCGCTTTACTAAATATTAAGAAGTTGCCCTAATTTCTTGAAAGTTTAAATGGATTTTGAGATTTAATGAATACTAAAATGACTCTTTTGAATAAGTTATAATTTTCGTTTCATTTCCTATTTCATATTTAAACGTAACTTTCCTTTTGTCTATTTATGTTGTTTAGAAAATAATTTTTTCTGACGCATTTCACAACATGGACGTACAAACTGTTCCGTAAGCTCAACTTAATTGGTTTTCTGTCGAATTACTTTCATTTTTAGTAGCGAAGTGGAAATGCACCCAGCCGATCGCGATAAGACTTACCCTATCGCATTTGGATTAAGTACTTCAACGTGATCGATGGTATTACAGTCTTTGTAAGTACGTAACTATGTACCTACATGCATAGAACAAGGAGCTTTTGTTGGCTCTATTTTGTTCAAACAATCGCGATAACCGAAGTATCAAATCGACAGATTCACAAATAAAATAGCAGAAAATTCCAGTCGTAAGCAGTTCTCTATTCCTTTCAATGTTATTTGAATGAAAAGCTCTAAGATTTTCTTGATACACTTTATTTTGTGAAACAAAACAAAGTGCATCGTCACGCAGCTGGAAGCCTTCACGTCCGAGACAGGAGTTCCCTCCAATCGCAGTCCAACTATCGTCTACGTTCCATATCAGTCCAACGTTCCGAACGTTCAGGAATTTCCAATAATACCTTTCCACTACCATACACTTACCACCCAATAAAAACAATTCACAAAAATACACACTTTATCACAAAGCCTTAAAGACAAAAATCGCTTGTATCAGAATATCGGAGAAGCAAATAGAATTTTGCAAAAGGACTTTCGCGATACTAAAGGTAAATTCGAAAGAGTTTCCAGCTCTCTAAGCTATGTTGTTACCAACATTACGTACTTCGCGACGGTAAGGTTAAATCGTTGGCAGTAAAAGGAAATTGCTTCAGTAATGGAATTATTTTCTTAGGACGCTCTGTAA